AAGACAACCCCAATTCTCCCTGGGGTGGTGAAACTTGTGTCTGGGCTGGGGAGGGGGTTTCTACCAATAAAGAGCCTTCATACGAAGCAAAAAGGGAACTAAGAAAACTCCTCTCTGCACACAAGGAGGCCCTTGTGAGAAGAAAAGGTGGTTGCAGTAACCTTCTATGAAGAGAAGTCAAAATGATTGGGACTTCCTAGTTCTGGAAAAATGGATCCGGGCAGGGGGGGACCAAAAATGCAGGGGTGTAGAGCCTCAGTTCAGGGGGCTAGAGTTATCATCGACCCACCGAGAATCCCTAGATGACCAGATACCTCTGGTTGAAATGGAAAGTTTCCACAGACAGGGTCTTCTTCTGACTGCTCTCCTCCAAAATTTGAGGGTGACACACACAGTGAGAAGAGGTGTGGCTGGAATGTTCCATCTCACACGCTTCCCCTGTTCAAGTCTGGGAGGCCTGAACAGAGCTTAGAACTGGGGAACCTCTAATGAACAAATGGGCAGGAAATTCTAAAAAAACAAAAAATGTTGCCTTTTCACACAGCACAGAATTAAAGTAAGGAACCTGCTGTCACAAGATGCCATGACAGACACTAGCTTAGAGGCCTCGAAAACAGGATTACACAAACTCATGAAGGAACCATCTAGCAATGGCTTCTAGTATTGATGGCCATCGATGTCCTCCAAGGAGAAAGCCATTGGATATACCAGTGGTTGAAAACAGATTTCTTGTCCTCAGGCTGTGCTTTACTGGCTTCCCAGTAGCCCAGAGTGGAAAATAGTTCATGGATCAAACCATGAACTAACCTTGGTTTGATCCAGCAAAGCTTCTTCTCACATTGTTACTTTTAGCACAGTTTGATGGTTTCCATGGGAGGCGTTCAGCTAGCTGGGTCCATGATGGGCTATAATGTGTTGGCTACTTTTGGTCAAGAGACAACTTCACCATCCATAGCACATCACTGTGTACCTTCACAAACTAGCCATAACAGGAATTCTTCTAAGACTTCCTGATTTTTAAGTTCTGACAGAGAACATACTGTTAGCCCTACCACACACACATACTTCATCCTCTAACATCTACTCTTTAGAAAGGTGCATATCCAGGGGAAAAAAACTTAAGCAAGGTTCGATTATTAACAGCCAAAGATACACCACAACACTTGGATTGATGTAGGAAAGCCAGAAGCCAAAACTTCCAAGTTTCTCTTGAATCAAATGGATTGGTCAAAGGGGTATTGGTCAAAGCCCTCTCAACCCATGGAAATCCATCCAGATGTGAAACATTTTCAACATTTCTGCTCCCCTAGCCACTCACAAAGCTATCAGGTCTTCTGCTTGGTTCACGTAGGCCACTGCATGTTGGAAATGCCCAGCAAACAACCAAAACAAAACCAGCCACTGCTTTCTCAGGAACTGAACGACATGGCATCTATTCTCCGCTGGAATGTGTTACACTCATGGGATCGCACGCATGCAGTATAACAAAAAGCACTTGGATACATCAGACTTCATTTAACACTATCATATAAATAAGCTTATTCCTTCTACTAGGCATAGAAAATGCCTTTTTTGCAGTCCATAATTACACATACATTGGAAAAAATAGGGAATTGATAACACAAGCAGCAAAATAGCGTTGGACTAGAACAACTCAGTGGTAAGTAGCCATCGCTAACCAACATCCACCTCCCCAATTTTCTATACAGAAAATTCAACATATTTTATATATATATATATATATATATATATATATATATATATATATATATATAGTTTGAACTTTCGAAATTTAAAGAATAAACAGAAGCAGTGAGTCATTATACAGATTAACACACTTTAAAAACATCTTCTTGCCCTCTGAAGGTCGACAGAAGGAAAATACGCTAAAATAAATGCAAAACGGTTTTGCTTCTGAAAGGGCAAAACGAATAAAGCACCCAGTTTGGTTTGGTCAGGGTGGGGGGGTGGATGAGACGAGAGTTAAGTAATAATATGTATCCCATCCACAGGACCAGATTGTGCACTGTCTTTGCGTCAGATGTTTAACATCTGTGTGTACACCACACTTCCTTCTACAAAAAGAGCAGCCCATCTTGATCAACACGCGAGTTTGCTTGGAGGAGAAATAACGCAGCCTTTAGAGAAATGGTTCAAAAATGTTGCAACAACGAGAAATACAAGCTAAACCCAAATGTATTTAAAAAATAATCAGTCTGCAGTCAGAATGTCCCGTTCGGCTCCACAAGCATTGATGGAATCTAGCTTTGCTTTCGCAATGCCTGTAAAATGGCCAGGACTGTAGCCAGGGGAAGCCCATGGGGAGAGCCATCACAGTCCTGCCTCTACACAAAACGCTTTTATGAAACACATGCACCCAGCGACATTCCACTCTTTCAACATCTTTCTTCTAAAGAAGCCAATAAAGCACCCTTGAGTAACGGGCCCCAGGCATGGCTTCCATTGGCTGCTCTGGCCAGCAAGTAATCCTGAACTCCATGACCGAGTACGGAAGCACCAGCGACTTGACTCTGCCTACAAACCAACTTCCACTAGAGCTGAAGACAGACTGAAAGCTCCTGAGCTACTCCACCTCCAACAAGCCTTGCAAGAGTCCAGCCATCCCAGACTCCTTTCACCAGTAAGCCAAAGGTAGAACACAGCAATTCGATTACTTCTCCCTTGGGAGGTGCTTCAGGACAAGGCTTTCCTTGTGCCATCGTCATACCTCCTGGGTGGAATGCTATGGGATGTTGCCTTGCATCCGTAGCCTGAGCCTCTCAGAGATAGACTGCTCATTAAATGCATCCTGGTTCGTGCATGCAAGCCAAAACGGGCTTCTGTTTCTGCACTTGCTGACGAAGAGACAATGCTTGTTGCCATTTGCGGGGGAAAGAATGGTTCATATGCTGAACGAGAGAGTGCTTGGGCCCAATGGGAACCAATGGGAAAGTATTGTCTACCCATCGACAATGGGGCCACCAGTGGGTTGGACAGTGAGGCATGCGGCCACCATTTTGAACAGGCAACCCCCAGCCAGGGAGGGTATTTTGCCATGCAAACCTAGCAAGTGTAGGTTATATGTGAGGCTTCAACAACCTTCACATAGCCCATGGTTTGTTTTAGGGTCACTTACACAACCTCTTGCTGGGCTTGCACGTCCCAACACCAACCAAGCAGGAAATGCATATGCAACCCGGTACTTCTAGGCTGAATGACCCACAGTGAGCTGCCATGTGCTGTTGGATCTTGGCTAGTAAGCAGCCGTTTCCCGGAAAGACTGTGCTCAGAGTTAGAAAGAAGGCCCATTTTGGAAATGGGCTATGAAGAAGGGAGACACAGAGGTGAGCCAAAGACTCTCCACACCCAAAGGGTACAAACCACAAGACCTACTGGTGTAGAAACCACTCCCTCTTACACACATTATTCTTGTTTCTGTGATGGTCCAACTGCTCCTTCTTCAGTGGCTGGATTTGGCTTGAAATTCTCCAGCAGGTGGTCCCAACAGGAAAACCTTGGTTGACCACTCTTTGGGCATGCTTGTTCCAGGTTTGCATCCTAAAGCCAAAGGTATGAATAATGTTGTAGACCAGGTGTGGGTAATTTATTGTCCTCCAGATGTATTGGTCTTCTAATCCCATCAGCCCTGGCCAGGAGAAGTCAACGCTGATGGCTAACGGGATGTGGAGGACCACAAGTTACCCACGCCATTCAAGACCTTGGTTTATCTTTGTTTAAGGAACTGGAAGGAATGACAGGAACATGGCATCGAGGGAAAGTGTGAGAGGCAGGAACTGAAAGCAACACTAAGCTGGAAGTTCTTCTAAGAAAGGAAGCAGGCAGAAGTGATAGGTGTGGTAGGACCCAAAATCAAGAGGCCCCCCCAGGGTAGGAAAGGACTGTGTACAGGTGTTTTATAGCCTTCCTACAGAGTCACTGTTTTAAGATTAAAACGTTAATACTCAAAAACCACAGATTTCTATAAAACACAAGAAAATGTACCTGAGAGTGTGCGTATTTATATATTTATATATATTTATATTTTAATATATATTTGTCAACACTTAAAAATGAAAAGCATATACTTCCCAGTGCTCTCTCACAAAGAAAGTGTGTGTTTGTGTGTGTGCCTGTGTGACACATGTGCACACGCACACACGCACACAATTTGGGAAACTAAATGGGAATGAAAGAAAAAGCTGGGTAGCAAAGGCAACTTAGGGCTCTGCTGAGTTGCAATGAGGGAAAATGATACTTTGCTGTCGTACGTGCTTTTCTTGCTGTGGTGGAAGGTGGCACCCTCAGCTGGACTCCATAAAGACACTGACCTTGTTGGCCCTGATCTTCAGACCACCCTGTGAGAGGTTGGTGGACAATAAGACCCTGGAGAGGTCCACACAAGGGGAGCTGACGCCAGCTCCAACCCACCTGATGACATCCAACTGGGAGGCCGCACGGAATGGCTGGCTGTGCTGTTTGGAATGCTGGGAACCAGCGAGTGGCCAAGGATGCTAACAGGCCCTTAATGTTGGGCATGGGGGTGGTGAACAGGGTGGAGGGGCCGTGCTCCCTCACCCCTAACTCTGAGGTTCCTCTTCTGTTGCCAGGATTCCATGGGACTTGCATGGAGTTCCTAACCTGATGGCGTTCCTTAAGGTGGTTTTCCAACAGCCAATAAGGAAAAGCAACATATCTGTTTAAAATATTACCCAATACATAGAGGGCAGACCATGAGAGAGAGAGAGGGAGGGAGGGAAGGAGGGAGGGAGGGAGGAAGGAAAAGCAATTGAAAACTGCAGTTCTGTTGACAAATACAGTGAATTATTTCCCCATCATTAATATTAAGCCAGAGTTTGCAAGGAGGTGAAAAGGACAGCATAAATAGGCTACTTGAATGAAACAGAGTAAAAACACCTCCCCCCGCCCGCCGCTCCCTGCTCCCCCATTAGCACAATACAATCAATAAGAAGTTCTGAATTTTGTAGAGGTAGCAGCTGTTTGTATTCCCGGAGTCCAGAACCTGGAAACATTGCTCCCCTGATGGCGGGCTCAATACCAGCGGGTGGGACAAGCCGGATCGCTGCATCTCTTCTCGGACCACAGGGGAAGGGGTGTGTGTTAGAAGCGCACTGAGAGGGGTCTTCTCACAAAACGCCACCACCCCACGTTGCATCAGTGCATGGAGGGGTTCCATGGCCCGTGTGGACGAGTCCCTCCCAGCACCGAAACGGTGCTCCACCCTCCGTCAGATGTTTGCAAAAAGGAGTTTTCTGGGTGTGCAAACGGATGCACAGCGAGCGTCTCCCCTCAGGGAAGCAGCCTGGCTGGACACAGTCCCTCTTCAAAGGCAGGAGCCCATCCTGGAGGCCCACGATTCCTTCACATGGACATCCAACATGGCGGCAGCACCGAGTCTTGGTGGTGGAGCACGCGGTCCCACGAGCGTCTCCTCCTCATGTTCACTGAATGCAAAGAGGAGTTTGTGTGAAGACCCCTTGGGATAGCTGTGGCAGTTCACTCTTGCACGCATGTGTGTGAGAGAGAGTGAGAGAGAGAGAGAGTTTGTACAAGCCAAACTTTAAAAAATAATAATAAAATCCACAAGATATTAAAGTAAGTTATACAGTTCCACATAATATAAATAGTGTTAGGTTGTTATTATTAATAGCATCATCATCATCATTAATTTTAGTGTTTTCATATAACTCCTAAGACAGGTGCTAGCAGAACATTATGTTAATAAGAACAATGCCTTTCATTCCCAGTGGCAGCAAAGGGCCTCCTTCATATAGGATGGTTTTCTCCCTGAAGTCGGTGGGTCCATTTCATGTCTGGTAGAAGTGGTGATAATGGTGGTGGTGCTCGTGATGGTGGTGGTGCTCGTGTCTCTGAATCATCTGCCCCACTTGGCCTTCGTACAAGATGACTGCGGGCAGATCTCTCACATGCTCCTTCTCCAGAACTGTTCCGGGAGCCTGGAAGGTTTTGCACACTTGATGAGGCTCTTTCGGCCTCTGCTTGTGCTTCTTGAAAGTCTGCTGAGACTGCATGGGCAGGTAAGGAAGGTTTTGGCCAACCCGAATGGTAGGGGAGGCCAATGGTACAGACGCCCCTGGAATGGGTTTACTCCTCATGACCCTTCCCGTGCTAGCAGAAGCTGCATTTTTACTCTGCGCCTTGGGAGACTTGATAAAGTGCTTGTTCGCGTCTTGACTCCGCAGCCGCTGTTGTATTTCCGCAAGTTTTGCATAGGAAGCTTCCATTAAGTTGATGTGGCCATGCTCAGCTGGCGGCGACCTTCGCTGGGTGGCATGGAAGATTTCTGGTTCATGGGAACGGGATCTTGTCTGGTTTGCAACTCGGACTGGTGGGTTGTGTTTCTGAGCCACTGGAGGAGACCCTAAGAAGGAACAAGTGGAGCTGGTCACCCACAACCTCTCAGCAAGTCCGTGCATGTTTGCTCAAAGTCATTCCCACTGATTTTGACGGGACTCATTCTAGGCAAGCGGGCTGAGGATGGCAAGCTTAATTATGAATGTTGGTATACAATGACAAGACATCAATGGAGCACAGATGAAGACAATCAACCATGCAAATTTATTCTTTCTATGTCCCAGAGGCAGGTGAGCTAGAAAGGAAAAACTCTGACTGCTAAAAGTTAGCAGACGTATTCAAATAATCGGGATTAGTCTGAGTTTTATTGCTAGCCACCTTGATGGCTATCTTTTTAGCAGAGAGGTGAGACATAAATAAAATAAAAAGACATGGCTGAAAACATAGGTGATAAACTGGTTAGATGAATTATTAGAATTCTTGGATCAACTTAAAATGTACCTTTAAATGAGCAACAGCATTTAAAAATACATTATTAGGATACAATTATTTAGCATACAAAGGAGGAATTATTCTCCTAAAATGTTATCTTAGGCCTCTTCTAAAAATAAGTCTGTGCATGCAAGGGTAAAACTATTGTCTGTGTGATGAAGGGGCTTGGAATTCTTTATCCAAGTGGCAACCCTTGTTAGTAAAACAAATTTCTAAACCTCAATGACGTGCATACAGGATACTTTTCTCTTCCAACAGCCACCTTCCATGAACAGAAAGTGATGGGTGCATTTGGATGGTGCTGCTGTGCCCCTTTCTTCACACGTTTGCCCTATTCAGTTACAGAATGCCTGAATCAGTATAAAACCTGGAGCTAGATCTTAATAAAATGCCACCTTCAAAGCTGTGTCCTAATCTAATCCCAGCCTATCACCATCTTCTTATAATGCAATTTTAACATGAGTCTAATTACAGCAAGCGCTTCATATTCTGCAGAATATTTTTTAAAAGTCTAAAAGCTCCATTTGAAGAAACAAGTAAAAGGGATGGGATTCAACTTATATAAAAAGCACAGGTATAACGTACCTGGCCCAAATTTTGATGTATAGTTTTCTATTCCTGCAAGATCCAAATAGTGGTTTCTCCTTTCAATATTTTCATCGACGCAATGGCGGTAGCATCCGTTTTGTTCGGGCCTGGCCTCAGCATGGTGGTTCCTGTGAGCAGGGAGCCAAACACGTTAAGATCAGAATTCCATTCCAAGAGTAAACCTTGTTTTGAAGCCCAGAACACACATTGCTTGGAACGAAACACAAGAACTCCCACAGAACCCTAGTGTGGAATTCCTTTATGGCATCGTATTCCAACCTCTTCCATCTTGGTGCTCTCTAGATGCACAGGATGGCAAACTCATGATCCCCGCCCTTGCCTATGCTTGCTGGGATGGCTGAGAGTTGCAGTATAAAACACCACCCTCTAGGCAAGGCTGCCCCATTCCATGGTACCAGTTTGGGAAAGGCTTCCTTATTCATTCATGGAGAAATTAAGTCACACGATGAAAGCACTGGGTTCAGTTCTTGGTGTCTCCAGCCAGGGCCGCCTGAACGCGTGGGCCCGATGGGCACTTGCCCGTGGGCCCCATACTAATCTGTGTATGTTAACCCTTGGAAAATGGGAAACCTTCCGAAATTAACAGTAGCTGTAGTTGTCGTAGGGGCCCCAGTACACTGCTTTGCCCGGGGCCCATGATGCTGTTCAGACAGCCCTTTCTCCAATTAAAAGGACTTCAGGGAGAGGGCCAGGACGAGTAATTTCTTGGAGACCTTGGAAGCACTTTGCAGCTGGACTGTGCTGGGCTAAACATACCAGCGCTTTGGCACAAGATGAAGGCAATTTCAAGGGCTCATCTAATCCAGCTAGTGCATATCTGAGAGCTCTAATAGGCACGCACAATCCAGGGGTGCAAAGATGACATGTTCCCTTTTCTGAGTTAGGAAATGCCCCACAATTGCCACAGGGAGCTCTAGACAGCCTTGGTATGAATCCTCCTAGGAAGAATATACACCCTGCTTAAATAGACATCACAGCATTTCTTCTGCCGAGTTAATCCCAGTCCACCACAGATCTTCCTTAATCTGAATACTTCGGAAGCCCATGTAAGCGTCTCCTGTGGTTAGTGGCTCGGATCAGAGAATCTGTCTCCCGTGAGAAGGGGCCTTCTGCCAGAGGAAAGGCTGCGATCAGAGGAGACCCCTTTGGGGACACCCCACCCAACACAGCTCCCCACACCCACCCCGTAATCCTCTGTGTAGTACAGAGACAGGCCACCTTTTTTTGCTTGGGGAAACCCTTGTCGTAGTTTTGCAGACCAGGGACGCATGGGTACCAGGGCACTTTCAGCCACACACGTCCGTTTTCAGGACTTGCTCCTTCCTTGCTATCATCCTTGGGTGAGATCCTCATCAAACTTTCTTTTGCCCTTGCTCCGCCTCCTCCTCCTCCTCCTCCTCCTCCTCCTCCTCTTTGCTTTTCTGTTCAGCCCCTTCCACTGCTTGTCTGCCCGCTACTGGCTAGCTGGCCACCTCCTTCGGCTCCTCTGCTTGCTTGCTTGCTTGCTTGCTTGCCCGCTTGCCCGCAGCGTCTTCCCTTGCCCCCTTCTTCCAGCTGCTACCAACTGCCTGAGTCCTGCTCCAGAATTAGGAAAGAGGGCGGGGAGAATGGGTTCTTGCAAGGGGTCTCGGCGGCTGCTTTTCTGCCCACTGACCCCCAGTGTTGCATGTTCAAGGGGCTGGGAAATCCCTTCTGACAGCACTGTCGATCCAGCCCAAATCTGCATCCAACCCACCATGTTTGATGACTCCATCCTCCCCGCATCTCATTGTGCCAGGCAAATGGGAGAGAGGCGGCAGGCTTAAAATCCTGGAAGGTAAAAACCACACTCCCCAACTGGGCCTGGGAGAGGTTGAATAAACCACGTCCATTGCCAGCCCCGCACATCCAACTCTCTCTTCCCAGTCCAGCACCACCGCTTTATTTATAGCCGAACTATTTCCTGAGAATGAATATCTGAAATACCAGCCCTTTCTGAGCCAAACAAGCAAAGAGGAAAGAGAAAGAATCTTTGAAGAGCGTTTCAGCCAAGAATTCCACACAATCAGATGCCCTGCTTGGAACAGAACTGTCTATGTAGTGAACAATTTCTTCAAAGAACATGAGAGACAAGAATACAGGAAGCTGCTGAACCCTTTCAGGGACATTTCTGCTACTGCTCACATGCAATAAATAAATCAGGACTTCTTTATTCCCCACTTCTCCTGTCCTGTGCAACTCATCCTCTTTCTGCACCATCATGGCACAGGAAATACCAAGAAAACTAAAGAAGGGAAGCCCTGATGGGTCATTTCCACAGACTGATTATGTTTAGCATCCTCCTCCCCATAACAGCCAATGAGAAAGACCCCGGAACATAAAAAACTCAAGGCCTTCCTCACTGTTACCCCACAAACACCCCACTGTAAATATGCAGGCTGAGTTTTAGCAACCAGAGCTAAAAACTGTTGTTCGATCTATCCACAACTGTATTTCATTGTTCTTTACATTCTTGACAAGTAGCTAATACTGCGCCCTACAGGGAAAAATTCCACAGGTTAAGCATGCATGTTATAAAAAGGGGAAAGAACTTGCATTAGAAGATAAGGTCTGTAGAGGGATACAAGCTTTCAGGTTCCCCAGGGCTCTTCATCAAGTTTTACCTGTCTTTTTAACTCCCAGTAAAAGGTGCTAAAAATTTGAAGTAACAAATATTACTTTAAAATTATGTCTAGCAGCTACATCTTTTTACTTCTTCATTTTACTACAGAGTAGTTGTAGGACCCCAACCCAGATCATAAAAGTCCCCCTACTTCTGCACTAGGGTTCCATTCCAGATTACGTGTCCTACACCTACTGTAGAGTAGAAAAAGGAGAAATAGCCACAGTGGTTTTGGTTTTGCTTTACAAATGTAAAGTTACTGTAGGATGCAATCTTACAGCCTCCCAACATTTTGAGGGGAAATAGAATTATTTGCATTGTTTTTATGTGCTGTGTCCTCCAAAAATTGTCCTGTAAGACATTTAGGAAGGCCTCAACAGTTATAAGCAGCCTATAAACCCATGTATAAATCAAATCAAATCATCCTGCCCTTGATAACCTTGCTCAGCTTTTGCAAACTCAAGACTGGGGCTTCCTTGATGGAGTCCACCCATCTCACCCATTTCAGAAGTCCACCCATCTTCTGCCTTAGACTTTCCTTAACAGGATGTCTTCTCCAGAGGGCCTTGCCTTCTCATGATGTGTCCGAAGTACGACAGTTTTGTCATTTTTGCTTCCAGGGAAAGTTCAGGGTTGAATTGATCCAGGATCCACGTGCTCATCCTTCTGCCACCCCTGGGTACTCACAAAGTCTTCTCCAGAGTGCACCAGGCAGAGGATACACGTAAGCCTTTGAGTCTGGAGGCTTGTGCACATCAAGGCCAAGGGGCGGAGGATTGTGCCCTTAACGTCTCACACAGAAAGGGCAATTCTCAAACCAATGCTTTCATCCCATCACACACCCCCCGCCCCATGTGCTGCTGCCCACACAGTGCCCCGAGGACCCGACATCAAAAAGCACAAATAAGCAGGAGGAAGACGCAGGACAGGAAGGCAAGGCTTAGCCAAATGTTCCTCTCTGCCAATCTTTGCCAATGTCATGACAAGATGTTTTTCGGAGAAACAAAGCTTCTTTCCCAGACTGGCAGCCTCCACAACACACATGTTCCTTCAGGGAGACACAACTTCAAATAGGCCTGTTTCATCTAACTTTTTTGAGGCTGCAGCAATCCCTGCAGCTGTGCATGAAAGAGAGCACTCTCTCTTCACTTTTCTGGAGACTGATGCACCCCTGAGCCACACCAGAAAAAAAAGCAAAGCAAAACAAAACACTTTTAAACTCCTGTCTGCAGGGCATTTCTGCACATTGTTTTTAAAGCACACACAATTCTTTCCCTCAGACGGTTCATGAGAAGCACCATTTATCTTCCCCATGCAATGTTCTTGCCTACTGCTATAAATCCTGCTCTAAGTTCATTAGCAGGACTCATCTGTTGACAAGGTAGCAACGGACCAGCACTAGCTGCCTCGTGGAACTTAACTCTGGGATAATTCTGCAGGTAGGTGGGTATAGGATTGCAGCCGCAAGGACTGCACAGGGCCAGGTGCTGACGGATTCTTGGCTGGACCTCCTGTGGATGGGCTTCTCCGCTAATGGCCAACTGCACCTTCACACAGTGCTACGCCTTGGGGGTTAATACAGGTGAGTGAGAACTTGCCCCTTTCCCAGCATCATTTTCTCCAGCTGGAATTTCCCACCCACCCAAGATCTGGTTATCCCTGTGAGTACCATCGGAGGAAGGGAACGGAGATTCAAGAAAGGAGGAGTGTTGGTCAGGATGCTGAACGCCATCTCATGGAAGAGGTTCCTGCGTCCTTGGCCATCCCCACCAGCAGGTGTAGCAGCAGGTTCCACAGAGGAGCTAACATGGGAAAGCAAGAGCATTCCACCGGGCCTGCTGAAAGACCTGGTCTGTTCCCCCTGAAATTCCACAGCCCCTTATTCTCCTCCAACAGGCAGTTCATTGCAGCTGCCCACATCATCATGCCATGGTATCAAGCAAATGATCAAAAGTCCACGACACAAAAATTTACCTCACGATAACAAGGCAGTTGCGCAAACAAAGGGCTATTTCATCTCCACTCAGGTGAGAAGACCTGGTTGGCCAGGCCTTGTCCACGTCAGCCCAAGCTTGGAGGTGTCAGTGTGACAACCTGGACAAAGCCACCAGGAGGCACTGCTATCCACCACATCAAAGTTGGAAGGGAGCCCACCGCTAACTTCCCAACTCAGATCCAAAGCCCCACTCAGCTTTAGACCTTCAGACTAGCCTCCTCAATCTTGAATCCTTCAGCTGCGTTCGGCAACAAGCATTCTGGGAGTTGCAGTCCAACAGAGAGAGGACACCAGGCTAAGGACCGAACCATCACTGTCACCAAAGGCCAAAACAGAGTTACTTTGTCCGTCCAGCAGCTAGCTAGCTTCATTTGTACTCCAGAGTTGGTGAAGGTCCACCAATTTAACTGGACTGCAAGTATGTACGTTGGGTGGAAGGAAAAGAGGAACTTTAAAGATCTAGACTTGGACCTGAGCTTACTCTAGAGTTCAAAAACTGAAGAAAGCAGAAGACATAGCTGCTTGAACCAAATTTAAATAAATATCTGCTTTGGCTAGATCCATATTAATGAGATGGGGGAAGTTTCATTCCGCCTTACCTGATGGAACCCCTCTGCTTCTTTTCGCAATTCCTCTGTTCTTCGTTGGCTTTGCTCTCCGCTCGGTGCTTTGAGCTTTGTAGGTCTGTCCCATGACACAAAAGCAACATGTTATTTTGCCCTGTTATTATCGACTCTCTTTAAAAGTTCAACAAACAGTGTCATCTCCCCTTAATTCTTCATGTAGCCACCCTTGGAGAGGTGGGTGGAGGAAAGATCCGGCATGCATTGACTGGTTCTCCAGTTAGCGGAGGAGAGGCTGTGGCTCTGCCTAAGAGGACATGCCTTGCAATGCAAGAAGTCTCAGGTTCACTCCCCAGCCATTTCAAAGAGAGCAGATGATCCGAAAGAACCTGTTGCGCCTGAGCCACTGGTAGAGGGCCAAAGGTGCTTTACAGCACTTTCCTTTGGCTGATGCGTAATTCTCTGCATAATACCTCTATTCATCTGGACATTACTCTTTAGACCAGGGGTCTCAAACTCGCAGCCCGCGGGCCAATGGCCGGGCCGGGCACGGAGGAGGGGCCCTGCGGCCTTCAAAGTGCCGGCGGTGCCCGGGCCGGCCGTGGGATGAGCGGCCCACCACCACCGCTTGATGCAGCCCAGCCTTGCCCAGCCTGCCTCTACTTCCAGCGACCCCCAGGGAAGTTGCGTTTGAGACCCCTGCGCTAAACACTTACCGGCGTGATTCAGCAGAATGCCTTTCTTCTTTTGACTCCCATCCGGCGCCACAGTGAGCTTCACCCGCAACGTTTTGCTGGAACTGGGGGAGTGATTTACTGAGGCATCAACTACTTCATAGATGGTGTGAAGCAAGCTGGTAATGTCCTAGAATTAAGGTGGAAACACGCAGAAGAAAGCAAATGCATTAAGAGCCTGAATTACATGTTTTGTGTCCTCCTTCGTCAAAAGCATCTCTTCCTGCCCTTGCAGAACCTGTACAACTTGCTGACGTTCTCCGAGGGACTGCTTCCCAACCAACTTCTGGAATGCTAACAAACATTTTGTGACATCAGAGCAGCTCAACCAATAGCAGGGTTTCCAGCCAGTTGTTTTGTCTATGGTAGCTCCTTCTGCATGAGGGCTAGACAGTGGAAAGGCCAGACACTTTGTGCCTGATCCGCTCCCTCTGACGGCATTAAAGAAGCCTACTTCCATCTCCTCCTCCTCCTCCTCCTCCCCAGCCCTCAGATGTCTCCCTCCTTTTCCAAGGCAAGCTGAATCTCTGCCTGAGACTCTTCATTAGGTAACCATGAAACCCCCAAGTCATCTGCCCATCCCTGCTTCCTCTCCAGACTTGGGCAAATATATCTGAGGAGACTGTAACATACAAAAGATGGGCTCCCAATGGGTTCCTGTCACAAGTCAGGTTTCCCTCTTTGCACTTCCACAACAACAAATGCTCTTTATTCTACAGTGCACTTTCCAGAAGCTCAACCAACGAAGAATGAGTCTCTGAGCATATGGAGAGCAATTCATTGAACCCAATACAGCAAATATTTCCAAGGACCCTCCTTTTGAGTACCCCTGGGCCCCTCCCTCTGGGATGCCCTTTCTGGAGAGGGGCAAGCTTCTTCTCCAGTTTGTTGGCCCATCCATGGAAAAAAAATGGATGGATAACCCATTCAAGGCACCTTTTCCCAAGGTGTTCATGTGTGTGTATGTTCCGAAAAGAATTTGACAAGTTTTTAAGGAGATGGTAAAATCCTGATCTCTAACCAGAACTCTCCCTAGAAGCAAAGATGGCAAAACTGAAGCTGTTGCACTTTGGATATACTAGGCGAAGGCAAGACTCACTGGAGGCCCACCTAGGATTGAATTAACACAGGAAGCCACAGACTTGAATTTAGAATAGTTTAGCGTGGCTGCTGTGGACAGGACTTTTTGGAGGGCTTTCACTGACTGGGTCTCCATAAGTCAGAGGTGACTTGTTGGCACACAACAATAAAAATGTTCTGACCAGCCACCTCCCACATTATGCACAAAGTCATTAAGCATAACCCTTCATGTGCATGTCCCATGCTGAGAGATGGAGAAATTTAACAACCAAGGCAAATGGCTTTTAAGCAGATAAGACCTCAAGCCACCTAGACAAGCGAGGCAGGTTAATTAAAAGTCACAACAAAGAAGATCCACGTTCTACAGAGCATTATAATTGAAGTTCACCAAATGACTCCAGAAATACACTGGTTCCAATGTAATATAATTTTTCAGTGCCCATGCATTTCACAAAACTCTTTCTTCAGTCTCAGTGCCAAACACCTCTCTCTCTCTCTCTCATCTCAGAGGACAGCTAATCTCCATCCTTTCGACAAAAAAATCAAGGATACCTGTTGGACAATCTATTTCAAGGAACAACGGCTTGAGACAAAAGGTGACCACCTGAGTGTACTTCACATCTCTTCTTTTCTCTCTCATCCTCTTGATACATCCCCTTGCCTATCAGAAAATCCATTACCGACACAGCACCTCTTAAACCAGGCTAAGGGGCAACCCCTTCGGATGCTCGGAAGCAAGCGTGTCCAGGAACAGTGAGAAGACCAGGGTTATCCATCCTTCAGGGTTATCCACCCCTCCTTCAAGTGCCCATCTGTTTTCTAACTCACTAGGTTAGCCAATTCTGCACTTCACACACAACTAAGCCAAAAAGGTCCGGTTGGCTGCAAATTACTTTGTCCCTCTCCAACCACTGTAATTTCCGTAGCCCCGTGGAATCAATAGGTGTCCTGTACTCAGATACTGTCATCACACCACGGCCTACTCTTTCCAGATGCATGAATGTCCAAGTAATCTATCACCAAATGACGTTCCCTGTAGACTGGGCACAGTATTAAACCATCAATCGGCTGTAGAAATACAGTTGTCTATTTCAGTGCACAGCATCCTCCGTACTGGGACAACCTGAAAACATTTTGTGCCGCGTATCTCAGACAATCTAGTCCTGCTGGAATGTCCATGAATAAACGATTGCCGGCCCCTTCAGGGGGGATATTTTACATACGCAGTGGTTGGGAAGCCTGCACGGAAGACAACATGTGATGTGGGTATCCATCCCGACGTCCCACCTTCTCTGTTCGCAGGATGGTCCATTCTGATGGACCACGACTGTGCTAACCTTTGCTGGTGCTTGTGGCACTTGTGATATGCTTCAGTTCATTCATGCAGCAGGAGAAACACACCTGTGGGAATTAGGACGGCTTGTCCCAAGATATAACCCTCCAAGGTTGTTACTCATACCCTCAACCAAAACTGGAAGAAGAGGCAGGGGCAGAATTTTTAGCAATGCCAAGGCCAGAAGAGGCGAGAATCAGACCAACGCACATTCAGCAGAACAGGGCCTGCCGTGGACTAGCTAGCATGGATGCTGTAATTCTGAGCTTTCAAGGTGAGAACTTATTAACAGCTGTGCATTTTTCACCTCATTATATTTTATGGAGAAATCCACTCTCCGACCCAACTGCACCATGTTTACAAGGATTTTCCTAATCTTGCAGCACATATAATAATTATGCTCAAGTCATTCTCACTCTGAGAGCAGTGGTAGTTCCATAAATAAGAATCGTTCATAAGAAAAAGAAAGAAAACAAAGCTGCTCAAGACTACTCAGGCTACAACCTTACATATACTTCTCTGGAAGTATGTCCACCTACCTCAGTTATTTACAAGTGAACTTGCACAGTAAATGAATTTCCCCAGCGCCAGGCTCTGCGAAGCCTCTGAAGCTTGCTAAACAAGTCGCCCGAGGAAGAGTGCCGTGAAGCTCAAAAGCTTCCCAGTTCTGCAACCCTGTATACAGGTCCAGTGCTATGTTCCAATGAACTGAACATTGCACTTAAGAAACTGCACTTTAAGAAAATAGATTTAGTACCAACTGGACCACCCAAGTCCCTTGCAGAACAAAGAGTAAAGAATCCCACAAGACACCTTGAAATAATTTGCCAAAAAAACCCTCCCCCAAAACAGTATGATGGAGGCAAAGCAAGATTCAAAGGAGTCCAGCACAAGAATGAACTCAGAAACTTAATGAGAAATCTTCAGAGTACAATGTAGGCCAGATATTTTGGCCTACAACTCCTATCCCACTGGCTATGTCAGCTGGGAACAGTCGGCCGAAACATGTGGAGTGGCCAGCTGTCCATTGATATCTCTCTTATATTCCTATTCCAGCTTTTTTCCTGCAAAGAATCCAGCACAGCTTACATAATCCTCCTCTCCATCCTAGCCTCACAACAACAGTCCTGTGAGGGAGACCAGGCTGAGACGGAGTGAATGGCCCAAAGTCCACCAGTGAGCTTCATGGCCAAATGGGGAGCAGAACCAAACCTGCCAAGCCCAAGCCCTGCTCTCTAAGCACTGCACTGGGTGTCTCCCTGCGACGGCAGGAAGGTATGGACTCGTGCTGTGAGAAGTTCCTGGTTCCTAGAAGGAATATCCCTCTCTCCGCAGAGTTGCACCTTTCTGAATGCTGCCATGGAGTCTTCCTGCCTGATTCCTGAAGACCCAACATGGGAAGTGGATTAAAATCAAGCCCTGGCAAGCAGACAACATTTTTAATATGTCCACCAGCAGCAAATGTTGGAGACCAGCCTGCAGTAGATCTGGTATGAAGCTGAGACGGGGAAACTGGGGCAGTGGGAAAGAGCAGTTGTCATCCAGCCAGTGAAACATAAATGGATGCCAATGTACCAGCTGTATCCCAAGTCCAAAGCCTGGCAGTTAACATCCACATGAAGTTAATTCCAGAACATCAGTCAAGTTCTCAGGAACCGCCCCACCCTCATCTACAGCAAGCTCATTTTTTAATGGCACAAAGAATGCTGGGAAATAGTGTCCACTCGGTTTTGTAGTTCTCTGCATTACAGCCTGGAAAGTCCTTCATGCTAAAGAAAAGGCTCTTCCCCCACTGGACAGCCTGTTTCAAGAACAGCAGCTGGATGCAAATTTTATCATTTGCCTTTACACCACTTTCATTCTGTGACTGGTTCAAAGGAAGCATGGCAAAGATCTGAACTTGGAGAGTAAAAGGAAAAGAGGAAGAAAAAAGAAGACAGAAAAGTCCTTCTGTGCCAAAAAGTGTCATCTCAACAAACCAATCAAAGGCAAATTAGGCTCTTAAAAGAAACTACCAATTTCCAAAGAGCCCCTTTAAGATAGAGCTTGATCATTTTTATGGAGAATTGTTATTATAAAAGTAATTGCTCTGGTAAATTTTATATAGTCACACACTATGTACACACTCTTTAGAGTTTTGGAGTCACTGAAGCACAGACAAAAATTTGCACTTACAGAACCCTTCCTAGTTAATTATTTGGGTGCTCTGAAGCATGTTTTTCAGGCTCTGTAATAGTATTTATTTATTTGTTCTATAGAAAAATAACAATAGAAATATTATAAATACCAAAGCTCTCTGGAGGTTGCCCAAACAAAACTTAAAATCATAACATATAAAAAGATTTTAAAAATCTAAAAGGTTTTGAACAACAGAATAAAAGTAAAGTTTTTTTTTAAAGCAGAACAAAAAAGGCAAAGCAAAAGCAAAGATCTACACACTAACATTGTTTTTAAAAACAGTAAAAATACTAATTAAAATATTTTAAGTTGGTGCTGAAAGGGCCAGAAATAAGTTCAGGTCACCCTCTCTGGAGAAGGTATTCCACAAATGGGGTGACACAACAAAAAAGACCCTCCCGTTGTGGCCAGTCACCCCTCCTCATCTGCTCGGGACACCCAGAGAACAGTTTCCAAAGATAATCTTAGAATCCCAGGCAGATGTATATAGCAAGAAACACTCTCCAGTTACACTGCCTTCATGCCCTGCAGAGCTCTGAAGAGTAATACTAGCACTAAAATCAGAAGGCGTCTCACTTTCTGGAATGCTTCATAAAAGAGGATCCACAACACCCGTCCCATTGTGGTTACAAAGGACTAACAGAGCCTACAAATTGTGATGCGGGTTGCTGCCTGCAAGTACCAGAGCCGGAAGGCCTACGGACACCAGCTGCTGCAGAATGAGAGGAGAAGGGCAGTGTTGGGGAAAGCAAGAGGAGCCATCTGGAGCAGGTGAACGGCCCACAAAGTCCAGCTTGGGTCCACACACTGGCCAACCAGCTGCCCCTCCGCCGTGGCTCCTCTTCAGTCCTTCCAATGTGGGACTCGAGACATGGCATTCACGGTCATTTCTCATCCAGGGCCTGGCAAAACCTGGGCCTCCTCAGCTTCAGCAAGGTTGCTGCCCCTGGACTTTAAGAGGGGACACCAAACCGAAGCCTGTGTCATGCCATGGCATTCTCTCTGGGCTAGAAGCTGCTCTTGACTTTGGAAAATTGATTGAAAGCAGCGAAACTGTGTATATCAATACAGCTTAAAAACAGCATTTGTCAATTCCTGTTAGTAACTACTGCCTCCCCACAAAAAGGAGAAGCCCTCAGGGGTTCATATGCATCATGGATAGGAGGAAAGTGGCATGAAGATAACTGGAAGTGGTAGCAACTTGGTGGGAAAAAAGGGGGGTACCCAAAGAAAGTCTTAGAGGAGATCAACCCTGACTGCTCTTTGGAAGGCCAGATACTGAAGATGAAACTCAATAATTTGGCCACCTAATGAGAAGGAAGGACTCCCTGGAGAAGAGCCTGATGCTGGGAACAATAGATGGCAAAAGAAGAAGGGGGTGGCAGAGGGTGAGGTGGCTGGATGGAGTCACTGAAGCAGTCGGTGTGAGCTTAGGTGGACTCCGGGAGATGGTGGAGGACAGGAAGGCCTGGAGGAGTGTTGTCCATGGGGTCGCGATGGGTCGGACGCGACCACAGCTAACAACAACATCAATCCAAAAAAGAGATGGTGATAGATATTTGCTCTGTCCTAGACCAAGTTTTACTACCTGGCTGTCAGAAGCTCTCTTGAAAAGGAGCTTATTCAGGGTTATTTCCATGCCTTCCTGGGCCTCTTAACTCCATTTAACATCTCCTAAATCTTTTAGGGTACAATCCTATATGCATGGGGGGAAGCCCCACTGACTCAAACATGACTTATTTCAGAATATGGCTTATCTTTTAAACCCTGGGTTGTTTCTTATGGGGTATTTGTTCTATCATGGTATTTTATCAGCGTGCTTATATTTATTTATTAGGATTTATTAAAAGCATTTCTACCCCATCCTTTACCGAGGTCTCAATAATAATGTTATTATCAGGTCACAGATAAGTACAGCAAATAAATAGATGCATTTATGGACCTCTCCTCTGTTGCACTGAAAGGCACCAATTATATTTTGTTGCTTTGTAATTAAACTGGAGGATAGACAGCGTATGCATTGCTGAGGGGACCTTTGCTCCAAGCCTATAAATATGATTGACTGAGGGAGTGAATCCCACTGGAAAGAATTTCAAAGGACACCCTTGCTATTCCGTTAGCTCAGCTATAAAGGCAGAAGAGAAGCCAAAAGGAACGTACATTTGCCAAGGTTTGTTTGACATTTGGTTTAGAGAATCATTTGCAGGGTACTTGGAGTGTGAGTGTGTGTGTGTGTGTGTGGGGGGGGTTATCTCCCTTTCAAAACAATCACTTCTAGGTGTCTTGCTTTTCAAACACCTAATTCCTGGCATGAAACAAGGAGGAGCTAGAAAGAGGAATTCGTCAAGGGATTCCAAAGCAGGAGAACTCACCACTGTGGAGTCCTGCAAAGTCCTAAAAATCTCAAAAGGAAAGCTGCAGTGGGTGAAGGGTCTGGCCAGCTCTGGGGTCACCAGCCTTCTCTGTCAGGAATCTTTTGATGCAGACAAGGCAAACCTTGTCAGCAAACACCATGGCTGGACCAGAAGCCAGATGGGACTGACCTCACGCGTGACTCTTCCGTTGTTGTCGAAGTCGTAAAGGGTGAAGGTCCACTCTTGCCGGTTGTCTTCCTCAACGGACACGTCACACTGCAATTCCTATGGAACACGCAAAGAGGAATGGATTACCCAAAGCCAGACTCCTCCCTTTCAACATTAAGAGAACCACTGCTTTTTTTAGGAGGAAAATATTTATTCAGTTTCCGCCACGCCCATCGGCCTCTCACAGGGGCTTGAGATCACAGGAACTGAACTGGAAACAAAAATAAAGCCAGTGCAGACAAGAAGAAGGTGGCAGAAGGAGGTGCCTCAGATGCCACCAGGCAATCACGTGCTCCCTAATAGGCTACCCCACGTGCCTCCATAGGGGCAGTCTGGTCCATGGGCTGCTGATGTCACAGCCGGGGGACTTCCTGCAGCCAAGGCACACTCATGCAGTTCAGCGCGAGTTGCCCCACCACAGCCCGGAGGCTGGTAGGGAGAATTACCCTGCGGCAGTACCTGGGGGTTCCAGCTTGCCATCCATTTCACAGGCTGCTTGTGAATCAAGTCATCCCACAGAGACTATTCCATGGTCAGCAATTCACCATCAGTGTTAAAAACAGAACGATACAAAGACATTGCCTCCTCAGCCCCCAGCACACAGTGGGATGGGATTCTAAAAGGGGGAGGACGGTCAGCTCTTCAGAAGAGCTTGTGAGCCTAGGTGACCTTTCAAAGAAAGGAGTTCCACTGAGAAGAACCCACAACCCAAAAGGCCCTGCTCCACCAGAATGGCATCCTCACCTTGGAGGGGAAGCAGAACTCCCCACTTTCGATTCCAAAAGGTCAGGGTTGGGTTGACGGTGGCGGAAGAGAACAGGGCTACACACTGTTAGTTATAAGACTAGAACAATCAAGGAATCCACAGCCTTGAATTGAGAAGATCGGAGCAGGGCTGCCACAAATAGGTCATTCTGGAGGGCGCCCATTCACAGGGTCACCTGAAGTGGGAGACAACTTCACCACCACCATCACCACGACTTCCACTGTGCTTTTTCACCATACATGTTTACCGCCTGATCTCAACAGAAGTGGGAAGGCAGGGGAAGAGGCACACTCTCAAGGACCCTTCCACAGGAAAGGAGTAGCTGCAGGTGCCGCAGCAGGTGAAAAGAGCACCTTGATCAAAAGCCGGGACACTCAGTGCATTGACATTTGCTATTCAGCTGGGATGGGTGTGGAGCTAAATGTTTGGGGTTTCGACCTACCAGTTCATTTCTATTTCTTTTATTTTATTTCTACTCCTATCTATCTGGGGCAAAAGAGGAGCCTGATACTGCAAAGAGAGAGTTCAACTAAGAGAATAATTTATTTCCAAGCAGGTCCTGTACATCATTTTGGCTTTTGGCTGCCACATCTGGCATGGATTCCTTTTGCCTCCCACCCCAAAATTGACAGAACAACCCCTCAATTTTCAGCCACTTGCAAGAGGAAGGCTTTTCACTGCATGCAGGCTTGGTGGAAGTGATGCTGCCATTGCGACTAATCATCATCAGCATCATCAGCATCAAAATCCAGTTCCTCTTTAAAGGAAGAATCTAGCTGTAGAACAGAAGAATGGTCCAACCCAATTACGTAGATTGAAGGTCCCTCTAATTTACGTAGCATCCCATTTTCAACCACTGGACATCTGTCATCAGACTCATGAAACTAATGATGGTCTAGAATTTTGGCTTTCACACCAACTTCCCTCCTCTTCAGAAATTGAGTAAAACCCAGAAAAGCGATAATAATGGCAAGAATAGTAAAAATTATAGGTAGGTCAGTTTGGTTCCCCATTCTGGCTGGCTGTAATAATGGCTGGATCCCATTTCCACCCTGTATTCTTTAGGCTAGGAAAGGGAAGGTATTCAATGGTGCTTCTTGTCTAATTCCCATGGGCTATGACTCTCTGGGAATTTGAAACACTTTTGGTTTCATTGAGCAAGAAGAAGAAACTGTGTGAAAGCTACTTACGAAAATGCTTGGAAATATAATGCGAAATCCTCCAATTAGAGGGAGAGAGACATGGCACAAGGACAAGAAAAACCTCTGCTTAATTCAAGGAGAACAAGCAAGAGACTCACAGCATGAGACTGGATAAAGTTGAAACAGAAGTGACCATTAATACAAAATAGACCCACGGTATAAACCCGTATCTGGAAAAAAAATCCCTTTTCACAACACAGGTTTTAAAGGCAGTATCAATTCCAGTTCTCCCTTATTAAAGCCTTCCGTCGGCTGAAGGTGAACTCTATTTGGAAAGAATAAAAAAAGAATCCTGACAACCAGAGCTGCTTTTGCAATCGTGCAAGAGTTACTTTACGCTGAAAGTATTCAGGAACTTCAGGCCTGAACACATCCTAGCTGTGCAATCCAGAGCTCCTGAAAGGGAACTGGCAAGGACAGGTGGTCCAGAGGGCATTTTCCATCCCCAGACACCCCTCCCATGGGCCACACTCTGCCTTCCACAGTGCCAAAAGGGTTAAATTGAGTTCATTTGCAAGCTAAATGGACCCTTTGATCACTCTGTGATAAAATGCCCACTTCTGTTCTAAAACCAAGGCCATTCGTAGAATACTGTTTGTATGAACTGTTAATGGGAAACAATGAACATTTCTGTACCGTAGGTTCTATTTCCCCATCCCCTCAAATGTAGCTAGATGCAGAAAATAAGCGAAGCAAGGTGATTTTGAAAGAATGCTCGAGGATGGTAACTTCCCCTTCCATTTCCTTGTGCCAACTGGCTCCTCCGAAACTCTTTCAAGCAGGGTGATCAGGAAGCCTCGGGGGGCCAACTTGGTTCCACCAAACAAGATCTCCAGCACGAGAGCTTGGAGTTCCACCATCAACACGGACTCCTTCATGAATAGCAACAGTGTGCCGCAGCGGTCAGTGCCTGCCGTGCGAGCCAAGCAGAGATGAGAGGTGTGCCAAGTCGGCATGCCCGAGACATAAAGCCGTTCCCCTTCCATGTTTCCGTTCTGATTTACACAAAGAACCTGCTTCTTTAGACCACAATAAAGATAGGAATCTCATTCGAATTAGAGAATAGGTTGCAGCTCTGTGAAGTGAGCACCTGCTCTGCATACAGGAGGTCTAAGGGTCATTCAGGTAAAACCAGGAAAGATCCCTGTGTGAAATGCCAGAGAACTTCTTCTGTGTGAGGTAAACCAGGAGTGTCAAGTCTCCTTCGAGTCAAGGACTAAATGAAATTTGAGAGAAGCTCCTGGGCATCAGGGGATCTAAGACAGGAGAGTGAAGTAATGATATAAAAATGAGCATTTCTTTAGGAGCAAGTCCTAGTTTGCCCAAGTAATGGAAGGATACCTCCTACTTGTGTAAAATGATCATCATGACAACACCAGACCAAAAGATTTGATTTATGCATTAAAATGTTCTCAAGGGCTTCACTTCAGCTGTAGCTCTCAGAGCAACTTACACAAGATGACCATTAAAACATCTTAAGAAATCACAGCAAGCAGCGAAAAGAGCTATGGCATAAAAGAAAACTGCAGGGCCAGGGCAAATAAAAAGAGTTCAAGCTGGCAGCGAAAAGAAACTCTAGATGGAGTTCAGAGATCCTGTCTGAGAAAGGTGTTTGAGAGCCAGGAACCACAAATGAAAAAGCGGTTTTCCAGTCACCTTCCCCTTAGGAAGACCAGGGCTCATATTTTACAGAAGGCAGTCCTCTCTTTCGGAGATTAGACTCCAAACTGTCTTCAGCCCAAATCTAGGTTAAAAATACAGATCCCTCAGAATGGAGGTCTGAAATTGCCACCTTTCAGCAGCACCTGCATAGCAGAAGTCTCAGGCCATTGTCGTCTCCACCAGAATAGGCTGTATCCTATTTCCATTTAAATAATACTAATGATTTTCAAATGTGCACCTATACAAAAATGACCAGGGGCGATTTTTACCCAGATCTCTCTCCTTGTTCTAGGAGATCCATTTCCTCTTGCTTTAGCAAATCGTCGCAGACTTCTGACTTCGGATGACAGAGGAGTAAGGCGTCCCAAATCGGTCGGAACAACCAGGCCGGCTCACCGTCCAAGTTTTGCATGCCGAATCTTTGAGCAGCTCCTCAAATGTCATCTTGATCATCCTTCTTGTAGCTTTCGAAGGTAGACTGGTATTGCCAGTGTCAATGTTGCAGAAGCAACGACGACACGGAGCAACGGTAGCTTACCCTGAGGCCACCCGACAATTACACGGACAAGGTGCAAACTGAACAGGGGTCTGTGCGACAGCTGGATCCCAGGAAGAAAGGGAGGGGCAGAAGCTGAGCAAATGCATCAGCTCGACGGTTTCCCCGCTTGCTCCTTCTCCCGAGGCTCATGTGATCGAAGTCAGCGAGAGTCGCAACACAAGCCGTGGAGGCAATTAAAAGGAAAGTCATTGCACGCAAGTAAAATAAACAGCTCCAAATAGCTTTGGCATGATGGGAACTCAGAAATACCTGCTTGATCTGCTGACTTGAAACCAATTCCCTACAGCAGTTAACGGTAAAGCCCCCCGTCCCCCGCTGAGTTCAAAGGCAGCCTTCTCTCCGCTATAACAAGCCCTGGCTGAAAGCTGCTAAAGTGCCCCTATACTCCCGACAGTAGAAACGGCGTTTCGTATTACACAAACATTCCCAGCACCTTTAAAAGCCAACGCACATCCACCAGCTCAGATTTAGACCTCTCCTGTCTCGACAGTCGTATTTCAGATTCTTTTGTACCTGGTCATAAAACGAAAGCGTTTACCATTCTCTTAGCCCCTAGCTTACACAGTTCGGGAGCTTTGATTTGAAATACAAGTGCCTGCAAGTGTGTGAATTTCTCAGTGATGCCCGATTCTTCGCCACATAGGAAGAGTTTTCCCTGTCCTGCGCCATTCAAAACACACAATCTTTTTTTTTGGGGGGGGGGGGGGGGGGGGAGATATCACGTCATATTAAATGTATAACATCCCTGCATGCCTTTGTTAAATATGGATCCGAACCATAGTGTGTCCACGGCTAACTAGAAGGGAACCCACATGTACCTTGGGTCTTTGTTAATGCAGAATTCCTGGAAACAGGGTAGCCCAACTGCTGGTGTGGGCTCCATTTGGACTCTTTCTGACATCTCAGTGGTGCAGGGTTGTATGAAAGCCAGCGCTCAACCAGACGCTTTGACTGCAAGGCCTGGGCGCCATATTCTCTGTGCTACCAGGACAGATCTCAGAGGGAGGCTGCTGTGGCCTACTCTTTGTGTCCTACAGTGTCACCTTTAGGGGAACCATGCAGCGGAGCATTGCTCCTAGGCATGGGAGAATCACAGAGCTTTCCTAGTGAAGAGCCACTGAGCGAGATGCTTCAAGCATGTGCATAAGGCCTCCTGCAGCATCCCACGAAGCCAGGGACGATCCCCGCATCTTGCAGCAGCAAGTTCCAGATAATGAGCATCCCTAAACTTCAGGCCATATTGTCTCAGTTCCATATGCAGAGATGAGGTTCCGCCTGCCATCATGTTTCTGCTCTTCGCTCAACAGGCATGGGAGCCCTGTGGAAGAGAGGAACCGGGCCACTTCATCCTCAAGGTAGCAGAGAGTGGCCTCATTAGGCAAAATGGAAGCTTGTACACCTTCCTATTTGGCAGATCTTTGGGATGAATTTTGTGTGTCTCATCGGCCCAGCTAAACATCTGTTCTGGGCAGCCAACAGTAATTGGGATTACAGTTGCAAAACGAGCCACTGGTCAGTCTGAGCCACTGGTCAGAAAGAGTGCCCTTCCAGAGTCTTGCCTACTGTATTTTGGAACCTGTGCTTTTCGACCCTTCCAACTCATCATTTGTAGCATCTTCACAGTCACCATCCTAAGAAACATACCACTTCTTCAAAAGTTGGCTCATTTCCCCTGCACCCTCCTTTTAAGAGAATGGTATATCAGAACTGAACCGTCTCACATTTTTTCCAAGACCCACTCCAAAAAAATTAAAAATTTAAAAAATCCAACTCTTTTCGGAGGTCTTTCAGCACCTTTTTTTTTTTTAAAGGTGTCTTTCATGTCATGAGCAGAGCTGGCTGGAGCCGGGGGTCTGGCCCATCACACAGACATATATGGCTGACAATGTACAGATCTGAAATGTACTGCCTGATCCCTCATTGGTCGGAATTACCCATATAATTCATTATATGAAGGAGCAAGCAGCAGCTGAGATGCGGGAGAGAGGGAAGAAATGGCACTGGAAGAAGAATTGCTCTTCCCCAGTAGAAGAATGACTCCAGCCAGGATAGAAAGAAGTTGAATACTTGCCCGAAAAATCTCTACCCACTTCAAGAACTGCTAATTTCTACCTAAAAGATAAAACTGAAAATAGCAGGAATATAACTGATGACACCAGGAATGTAAGCTTGAGGAGCACAGTTTGTGGTCTACTCAGAGAAAGCATGCACGCTACTTCAAGATCCTCTCTGCGGAACTTGGTCCGCAATGCATGGCTTTTCAGCAGCATCTTAAGTCTAAGAGGAAACAGGCTATCAGACACATTCTCAACTAGGCCTTTTCTTCCTCACTGCCCTCTCATCAGATGGATTTCTAATCAGATGGATTGGCTAGGTCAAGGTCAGGTCGTTCCGGAGGCCCAAAGAGGAGAAACCTTTCACAAGCATCTTTCCCACCGGGACATTTATTGCTTTCTTTGAAAAAAGGAGGAACTCGCAGACCACAGAAAGAAGCAAAGCAAAACAAAAGCACAGAGGCAGACACAAAAACAGAATCCTGTGGCAGAATGAGAACCAAAGTTCATACGAAAACACAGGGCACATTTAGAGTTCCAGGCAAATAGTTCATGGCATGAGGATTGCACCCAGCATGGGTTTTCATCCCTTTGGGGAGATGCAAACACTCCTCATTTCTCATCTCCTACTGCCAGCACTCACTGGGGAGGACAGTCACAGTAGAGCAAGCTGAATGCAAAAGAAGAGAAGGAAGACCAAATAGGTGATGGACTGAATCTATAAGGGAAGCCACAGCTTTGAACTTAGAGGAGCTCAGCCAGGCTGTCAAGGACAAGATTCTGGAGGGCTTCCTTTCATGGGGTTGCCGTAAGTTGGAAACAAATTGACGGTAGATAACAACAGCAAGAACTAAAAGTGCCAGAATATCCTCCGAGAGCTACAGCTTTTTATCCAACATGGGTTCGCTCACTCCCACCCGTGCAAATTTCAATAGATATTCCTGAGGCAGAGGGCAAGTGTCTAGACTGTGGGTGGGGAATTCTCCGACCTGAATCTTGTCAAGAACTCACCAGGTGGGATGAGGGAAGCCATTCTTTCCCATAGCCTTGGTTCTCTTCTTGCTGCTGAATGGTAATAAGAAACAGTGCTGCGCCACAGTTTTACCCCCTGCCTTTCCTTGATCCCGTAATTGCTGATAGTAGTCTTCATGTAATCGATTTAGGCTGTAATCCGATCCTGTACACAGTTGCCAGGAGTAGACCCCACGGAATACAGAGGCACTTGTGTCAGAGTAAGCATGCCCTTGTGCCACTAATGGGAATCATCATCAATCGTTCTGGTACAAACACAATTAAAATACAGTAAAGGTATAAATAGTAATTTTAAGAGATGCCAACCCAAGAGGATCTTTAAGGATTTCATCAGAGACAGAGCACTATGTAAGGGCTTATTTTAGCATTATTGAATTATAGGATCATTGGCTCGCTCCTTCTGGGGGTTGTTGGTGGAGATCCCTACAGATTTGTGGTTCTGTAGGGCAATCTATAGTTGCAACTAGGAGAGAAATATGTGATGTTTAAACCTGGAGCTGTCAGGTCTCAAGTGCTTAAGCAGAAGGCAGGAGGTGGAGAAAGTTTAGGGATAGCATTCTTTGTCCTGTGAAGGAGGTATCGCCGTTTGATTACTCCAGAGAACTGAGAACACATTAGGAACATGTCCAAGAGCTTCGGTGGATGCTTTCTCAAGATGGACATGGGGAAGGCTTCCCAGTCCTGAAATGGCTGCCACTGCAGGCAACAGAGGCCAAAAAACACCCATTTCCCTGCAGGCAAACAGGCAAAACAAAAAGGAAAATAATTTGCCCCTAGACCTAAATATCAGGCAAAGGCAGGGTCTGATCCAAAGCGCAAAACTCCTCCTTTGAACCTAGTTTTCTGCTGCGGTGTTCATTTCACAGAAGTGATATGTCTCAGGGGCAGGTAAGGTGGCCAAGAAACTGAGCCCAGGTGGGCACAATAAAGGATTTGTTTGGCAAAGGGCAAAATACCCATTTTTCTCACAAACCCTCCCTCTCACAGGCACCCAGCGTACAACCAAATCACACAAAGCACAGATCAAGCCGTTCAAGAGGACTTGTGGTACATGTGCTTGACCTTGGCTATCATTCGTGCTAATTAAGATGTTGGACTTGTGGCTGTTGGAATTCTGTGCCTTCTGAATCTTCAGGAGGTCTCCCAACAATCCGCATTCACACAGGTAAGCATGATCCAGGTAGGTAAGTTTTATTTTGAACCCCCCTGTATTGACATTTAGGAGTCTGCTCTTTCTAAGCATGCTTTTCTCCAGGTATAACCACCTGAAATCACCCATTCCAGGTCACTGCAGCAATATACCACCCCAAGAATAAATAGCATCCGTACCTCAAATTTTAGCTGCTTCTTGGCATTTGTTCGTGTGTTAGCCTCCTTTTCCATTTTCTTTTCATCACCACTGCAAACTCCATCTGTCTTCTCTGGAGGCAAAGCCACTAGGTGCAAAAAATAGGAGGAAACAATTCAGAAGAAATTCCAAAATAGGCTGCTTTTAGTCACCTGACACTTGGATACCTTGTTATAAAAAGCCTGAAGCTTGGTTTTCCACTATTTTTAATGGATTAATACTTTCACATCAGCATCTGCTAAAAGATCTAATCTACCAGCATTGGTTTAATGTCTGAAAATTCAGTTTGAATGATAAGAACATATTGTGTTGATATTTCATCATGCTCAAATAATGGATCAAATAAATGGATCAAACCCATTGTGGCAATTTTACCTTATCAAATAATAATAGCCTCTGGGGGATAATGGATGAGCAAAAGAAAATACAATGATACATACAGAAGGAAAGCAATGCTAGAGTGGATGAATGCAGGACAGTCTGAACACTGGAGGGTTCCATCTAAGGCAGGGCACCCGTTACCCCAAGAATGGGCAAAACCCGGGATCTTCTAGCCACGGTTCGATCAAGAGGCACACATGCCTTTCTGAGCTAACAGTGGTGCCGTGTTGCTGTTAATACAAATTAAGAACAGCTCGAATCGCAGCATGTGCATCTGTTTCTAAGCATGGCCACACCAAGCGGTGCAGGGCTAACTGAAGTTAGCATCTCATTTGACATCTCTGAAATGTGTTGTGGCTGGTTCTGAAGATGGAAGGGGGTGGGGGGGTGGAATTACGATCTTCAGAAAAGTTTTAATTCGTTTAAAATAACAGCCTTTGCCAACATTGCACGATGTTTCTGATTGGAAAATGCACATTTTGAGCTTGCACATTTTAAAATGTGCATTTTCCCCAACCGACATGAAGCAGGTGACCAAATGCAACTTCCAGGGATGAATTTGGAATCTTCGGTGAGCCTGAAGGTTGCATGGATGCCCATCAAACAACTGCAAGCGAGTTAAGGCATGAGTCGGTTGCCAAGGTGGTAACCAGAGTTTCCCAGTTCAGAAGGACAGGCAGTTAACCAGAAGAATCCACCCTGCATTCAGGCTCACTAAGAAGTGGTTGTATGCACACCCACCACACTCCTGTCTTGGGACACTGGACTGAGTTAAACGTCATCCAAATAGGGTCACTTCCTACACATTTGAGGTATGCCAGGTTGAATTTCCTGTACTATCCCAGGTGTTTTCCCCCCTTGGCACTTGAAAACATTCAGATAAAAAATGGGCAGCCAGAATACTAGCCAGATAAGACGTTAGATGCTCTTGTTTTTAAATGCTGTGGTTCAATCTTTTAGCATATTCAAAGGAATAAATGAAACATTACAATGATGTTTAGAAATCATCGATGAACAGGTAGAAATGATGCTAGGACAAACTGGACTCCTCTCAAATGAATACATGGAGGATGGATGGAGAAGAGGAAACTGGCCATAGAACTGCCTTGGATGTATTGTATGCCAGCAAAGATTTTCTGCTCAGTTCAACTCAATTTTAAAGGAACTGAGATCTTGTTGATCAGGGACTAGTTGCTTTAAAAATCTGTCCTTTGGTTTCAACATATGCCTGTAAATTCTATAAGAACTCTTCCCTCTCTCTCTCTCTCTCTCTCTCTCTCTCTCTCTCTCTCACACACACACACACACGTGCGCGCGCACACAAACACACACACACAGAGAGAGAGAGAGAGAGAGAGAGAGAGAGAGAGAGAGAGAGCGAGCGAGCGAGGCCAGAGATAATGGACAGTGTAGTCCAAGAACATCTGGAGAGTCACAGGCTTCTTAACCCAAAGGATCACCAGTCCTGAGTAAAAGGATGAGCCAGGCCATTTAAATGCATTTATAGTTTGCTTTTCCAAGAAATGTGTTCCAAAAGGCATGCACAAGCAATCACAAACAAATATCAGCCTCTGACAGGAGAAAGCAATGTCTTTCAATTTACTGTGTAAACAGCCCGATGAAAGAGAAACAGTTCCAATCATGTAACAAATATTTACTGTCTAAGTCTAGTCATGTTTATTTCAATGCAAAGCTTGGTTAAGACGTGCAGGAGGGCGGCAGAAAGCCTGGCACCGCTTCAGACTTTGGAAAGGGCTACCATGTTTGAAAAAACGCCCTGCTGAAAATAAACTACAGCTCAGCAATGAGATAAAGCTTTGCAGTGCTGCTAGTTTTCTACTTACAGTTTTTAATTGATTTTATTTTACATAGGAATAGATGATTTTTGAAAAGCAGATCCCCCTTCCCAGTGCTCTGAACAAGAGAAACCTTCATTCTATTCCTTCTTTCGTCTGACTCTATTCCAAAAGATCTCTCAGTACGGAAAAAAGAAATACATAGAACATTTGCGCCAAAAGCAGATCCTCAATTCCAAGCCATTTGTCAATTTTGAGGTCACAATCCTATATACACATATCTGGGACTAAGTTCCACCGAATTCAACAAAGCTTAGTTCTGAGTAGACGAGTTTAGGATTGTGCTGCAATTTCCCTGTTGGCACACTAGAACTTGTTTTGAATTACACATGTTCAGGACTGCAGTGTTAGTATCTGATTGCGCATTTTAGGAAACAGCACAACATCCCGCATTGCAAAGTCAAAAAGAAGGTGCTATTACTTTCCAAAACAACCTTGTCTACATATGGAAATCAAGAAACAAAATCTGCACAAAAGGCAAAATTTTCTCTGTCTATAACTGTGGGTTCATTTCTATTTCTGGTGCATTTTGGTAGCCATCCACTCCGAGAGATATATCTGCCTCAGAAAAGAGAAAAAGGCACGGGTGGTTTGCAAGTTAATTTAGATACATCAGAATTTATTTATTTTAAAAAATAAAATTGCTACTAGCAAGGCAGCGAGTTTGACAGGGTTGCCTGTGAAAAAGCAACCGCTGAATCAATCACATGGCTCCGTCACAGGGAAAAGTATTACTTTCATTTGTCCATACTGTGTTTTTAGCTTGAGGCAAGCTAACTGTATTCCAACATCTTTCACTGAAATGTGGCTTCTTTGTATTTGTTCAGGCTACTTGCCTCTGGGCTAGCTTTCAGTCCCTAAGAACAGGTAAAGACCATGCTGCAAAAGGCCACAAGTCTCCCAGAATAAGCCAACTTCTAACTACGATTAACCACCAAGGGGCCCTTTGGAGTGCCTCCTCCAAAGGAGGTTTGAAGGACAGCAACAAAGATGAGGGTCTTTTCAGTAGTGGCCCCCTGACCACAGGGGGTTCTGCTTAGAACCAACACTATTACTATAAGCACCAGGCCAAGACTGTCTTGTACTCCCAGGTCTCTGAGGCATCCAATGGCTTGCTATGCACCCGTTGTTTTTGGTAATGGTTCTTCTCATATTTGGGGTGTCTTATTATGTTCAAGTATTTTAATAAAACTGCTGTTTTGAATAATTCTGTTGAAAAATCCTTTGGGCATTTTTAAAGAAAACAAAGACATCTTTTAAATCACCATCATCTCTGTCCATATCACTTGCACAGGAAAAACAAACACAATAGCGTTGTGAACATCAAGGAAGTATAACGATGCATTCTGTCCTTTGTCCTTTCCATATTTTTGTTGTGCTACAGCCTGGAATCAAAATGGATTGGACTGGCATTGGCACAAGATACTCAACATGGCAAAGGTGCAAACCATTATTATTGTCCAACCTCCCAGGGTTCCCCAGAGGACTATGCCTCTCTTTAGAATCAGTGGCCCCTCTCCCTCAACCACCTCTTATTTGGTGGATTCCCATCTCTTGTGTCTCTTTCTTAAAGACCCAGGGAGGTTGGAGCAGCCTGCACGGTTCAGTTTCGGACGTCCTTACAAAATAAAAGTGCTCTCCACCAAAAAACGCCAACAGGAAGCCTTCTTCCTTGCATGCAAACAGTTAATACCATTGGGAGATAGTAACCAGCAGCAGCTGCAGTTCTAGCATCCTTTATACCCCTTTGGCAGCCTTCTTTAGCTAATTGGTTTAACTCCTGGTAACACAAAGGGCATTTACACTTGTTTTGGTGAATTTACATTTCCTGATTGTCATTCTACACTGTATCCACAAGCAAACTTCATGACTTCCTTCTTATCTATTGGGTCATGGAGACCACTTACATTCTTCTATATCAGACTTAAACTCTCCTCTTAACGTTCCCTCTTGAAAGGCTTCTCCTTAAGCTTAATTTCTGGGAGTAAAAAAATAAGCTAAAAAATGCTTTTTATATTTTCTATTTTGGCTTCACCCCCTTGTGCCTTCAGACCCACCTACCCCTTTCTCTGGAGAGCTTCTACGGAACTGAATTCAGCCATTGCAGTGTGCAAGGCTCGGCTTATATGAGTCTTCTAAGTTGATGGCAGCTCTGTCAACATTCGCCATGAAGATCTCCCCTTGCTAGGGTGGAGGGGGCTTCCAATGACCCCTCCCCACAATGCAATTGTTAGGGAACTCAGCAAGATGCGACTTCTGCCTGGCTTGAGATTCCCTCGCCCCCTCTCTAAAGTTATGTTGAAACAGGGCCCTTGCTTCTCATTTCCAGCCAAATGGTGTTTGCCTCCGGGGGGGGGGGGGGGGGGGGGGGGCAAACATTAAATTTGCTTCTCCACACAGTCCCTTTCCTCTGTCTGGACACTCTTAATTGGAAAGTATTTGTCTTGAACACACTACAGTGTTCCTTTTCTAGAAATGTAACAAAGAATGTGGGGGGGGGGGGAGAGCTTATATTTCAAACGTTATGAAGTACTATTCCCGTCTCAAAGACAGCTAATTGGCAGAAGAACACTTACAGATGTATCTTGCTGAGGACAGTTAATTAATAACATCTATTTGTAAGAAAGAGCAGAAAGCACATGTGCCAGGGTGCTGAATCCATTACTGTCAACCTGTAATTGAGCTTTGCCAACAAAAACGGCGAGCGGTCATCGTTCCTTAAGCGTTTCATGCCCGACCGACCCCTCGAAGCCGGGAGGGGATGCATTTCCACACGTGACTGAGGTGGGGTAGGATGAAACCTGGGCTGAATTTTGTGGCCTCCTCACTTTGGAATTCCACTATTCCAAAG